GTTGCGCGGGCTAGCAAGTATTATATTAGATGACGGTTCATGGAAACTTGGCGGTGGTTAACGTAAAAATATTACAAAAATATAAAACAGAAAAGAAAGTATTATAAATATAATAATCATTATCTATACAATGCTTATGTTTTTTTTTATGTGAAAAACAAAAAAAAAAGTTTTCCTTCCAAAAATACAATAATACATGTACCTACTATCATCATTTTTACTTAGTATTGTTCTAATAGTAATAACGGTATGGAGATGACATTGGTAGTCTGTAACGCCGTTTAGTTTTTAATCATCACGGGTCTTTAAATAATTACTTTTCATCAATTGCATTTACAAAATTTTTTGTTATTTTTCTTATTATTAAATTTTTTTGTTAACCTAAAGAAGTTTAAGTTCTTACGTGCGTACATAAATACACACACAAAAAATAAAGCTTATTTAAAAATCTTAAACGGAGTCGAAGTAGCAAACGTAATTTTTGGTACACCCATAGTGTCAATGTCATACGCGTAGTAGTGTATCTGTCGAATGAAAGGGCGAGGCGGCCATTGGAGCGTGCATCGGCGATCGCCTTACCGATTTGCCGGCACTTTCACGCTCGGCGGCCCCGCCCGCTGACGATGATACCTGTCACGATGACAGCAGACTTTTTTTTACATTTGGCGCCAAAACTATAGATTATACTAATTTGGCTTGTAGACTATTCGAGAACGCGTATCATGCGAACGGTCTGATAAAGCTTTATAATTGACTATTTATTACTTCTATAATAATCGGTACTTTCAGTGTTGTCTCATTACTTTTAATAACAACACAGCTTTCTTGCAATCTTTCATTATATTTACATGGATATTCCACATGGTACAAAAAGATGACATTTACATGGTAGAAATAGGCATAGAGGTTTTCTGTATACTTTTCGACTCTACGAATAACATTTACTAAAATCTATCTATTGGTGTATAATATGCGAGTACGCATTTTTAGCGGCCTCAAATGGAAATTACGTATCAGTTAATTTTATAATTGGAAGGAGGTTACGACTATTACTTCATAGGCGAGTGACTAATCTTCACAACACTTGATTAAGTCGCAGATAAATAAATACTTCATCATTTTAGTTTTATTGCTAACTATTAAAAAAGTAGATGCTTAAAAAGCATAACATTGTAATAGTATAGATAACTTTTAAAACCTCCTTAATGTGATCACCATTTACTTTTTGGCCGTACGAATCTTCAAAATAAACTTATTTTACTTAATAATTAATAAATAACTATGGCTTACTTAAGTACTTACTAGAAATAATATTTATGAAGACATTTTGATAAATTTTATTAATAAATTAATAATCCAAAAGTAAACTAAAATTTTATGATCAGATTAACAACATAGAGCTATTCGGTTTAAGATTAAAATTCATGTACTAAGTATTATTATATATATTATATAATATATATTATAATTTTTAATATAAATTTTTATAATATAAATTCATTGAAATAATCCCTCCAAAAGAGAGCTATTCGAGCAGTTTATAACCTGGGCCCCAAAGAATCACTAAGAAATTTGTTCAAACAGATTAAAATATTACCCGTTGCTTCCCAGTACATACTCGAAAATGTTATGTATGTCCAAAAAATAAGAATGAATTTTCAAGACATGGTAACGTGCATGATATAATTACTAGGAACAAACATATATTCACTCTATCCACAACTAGACGTTACTTAAGTGGCCGAGGGCAGCGTATTCGCATAGAAGATACATTTTCGTCTTGGTGTGAATTGCGCGCCGGAGTGCCTCAAGTTGGTGTGTAGTCTCCTCTTCTATCACATGTATGCAGACGATCTCCAAAGCTACACACAGTCAACTCTTGAAGTCTTGCCTACTGCTGTTTCTGTCATACTACTGATTCTGTCAGTGAATGGAGCAAAATCTATGGTCTCAATGTTAACCATACTAATTCTCAGGCTATTATTGTTGGTGGTGTTGGTTTGATTTCAAGAGTTGACTGGAATAACCTTCCCCTGGTAAAATTGAATGGCGTTATAATACCGTACTGCACCGTTGCCGTCCAATTTGATAATTCCCTCTCATGGTCGGAACAATTGAATCTAGTGAGCAGAAAGACATTTGCTGCGATTGGTTCTCTCCGTCGTTTACGTTCGTTTCTTCCCATTCCAACTAAAACTAAGCTAGCACAATCCTTGCTCCTGTCCATTCTCGACTATGCGGATGCAAGTTATCTTGATTTAACTGAAGAACAACTAAATAAACTTGAGTGTATTCAAAATGTAGCTATTTGGTTCATATTTGGTTTACGCAAATATGATCACGTCGCCGAATTTCGTTCAAAGCTCAAGTGGTTACCTATTCGTTTTCGCCGGAATTTGTACACACTGTCTCTCTTCTCTACTGTGTATTATTTAACCCTAGGACTCCAAGTTATTTAAAGGAACATTTCTTGGCCATAACCATCCAAAACGAGTTCTGCGATCCGCTGAAGATATAATTCTAGTACCACATGCGTACAAATCTATATATTATAAGAACTTTTTTACAGTTAGGGCCATCTGCTAGTGGAATATACTTCCTCAGCAAATTCGTCGTGCGAAGACGGTAGAAAAGTTTGATATTGTAAAAAAACATTATGTATCCCTTTGCATGTTTTTATGTGCGTGACTTCGTGGCGCAGTCGCCGAGGTATTGGTTTCGGCGTCGGGGGTCGTGGGTTCGATTCCCACAAGGGACAACTATTTTTGTGACCCACAGATAGTTGTTTCGCATCTGGGTATTTGTCCGCGTAAAATGTATGTTTTATGAGGCAATATTAGGATTTAATTCTTCTCTCGTGTATTCATACAATATATATATATATATATATATATATATATATATATATTGTAGTAGAATAAGTGATCCTTATGTGGGATAATGCATACGTTTTTAATAAAATTAATTTTTTAAAGGAAAATTGTGAAAGGAACGTTTTTGTATTAAAGGCTATTATAACATCAGTGGTTATTTAAATGATAACACACAATTGATCGCTTCATGGCTCTTTAAAGTGGACTTTAATACATTTTTAACATGTTTCTTAGCTTTTTTCCAGTTCATCTCACATAAGTGGCTTTTCTTTTCCGAATAGTATTTCAATAAGTAAGTGTAATGAATTTGAAGAATATGCAAAAAAAAATACTAAAAAGAAAGCTAATACGGGGAAAACCTAAATATAACTATTACAATTGTATATAACAATTCTTGTTTTAATAAAAGAAATGCTCAGTTTGAAAGATCTCTTTTAGGTACTTAATATTTTTTAAATAAATTAAAATGAAATGGTTTTGTAGATTTTGCATGTGTTTGTAACAACAAGAGCGCTCAAACATTTTTAAATTGAGGAACATAAAAGTCCGTTATAATCATCTGTTATGGATCGCGGCGATCCGAATTAAAAATTCCATAACTCCCGTCTAGTTATACCGTACTTGGAGGAGAAATGCTCAAAGCCACCTAATTGGATACAGACTACAGACCACTACAAAGGGGGCATGTTTGAGATAAAAATGAAAATTAAATCTTCCACGCGGATGGGCAGAGTAATGTTTTTGACGGTACTGAGGCGGGATTCCAACCCTCCACCCGCCTGTGGGGGGGAGGATGCCGCAAATCGACTATCAAAATGCTGCTAAAAAAAGTTATGTTTCCACGCAGACAGCGCGACCGGCTGTTGTGAGCTCTCCGTCCTTTTTGGCGGCGGTTCGCGGGTCTTTTTTTGTTTTTTTAATTATTCCCGCCTGTCGCTAGTTGAGTTGTGGTTCAGCCTTTGTGGCGATCGGTGTTTTAACTCCCAATTTTTTAATGCAGAAGCTTAAGTTTAAACTTTGTATGTAATAAAAACCTTTTTTATTTATGTGAGAAGGTGGCAAGCGAACTGGTGTTTCATCTGATGTTAAGAGATAACCGTCACCCATGGACACCTGCAACACCCGTAGGGTTGTAGATGCCTGGACCACTTTAATCTCTCTCTAATATGGTGAGCCTCGGTTACTTCACTCACCAGACGAAACACAAAAGTATAACATTTACTTCACGCTGGTCTTCTACTCGAGTATAACTTATTTCAAACGAAAACAGATAGATTTAAGTTACTTATAATTTCAAATTAGCTTTTCTGATATATGCAGAAATGCTTTTAATAAATCGTAGTTTACCTTCTTAACGGTATGTCTTATTCGGAACATTGCGACTCGTTTAAAATGAGGAGTTAAGATTTGCTGCGGCAAGTTCTTTGTTGAGTTTTATTTTACCTTTCAATCTAAAGGACGGATTTAAGCTTACGATTTAAGCCACTAACTATCCACTCGATGATAACCAGGGATGTAGTCTTACGTCTATTTATTCACTATTATTAAAAGACTACCCACTCTTCCCTGAAGACGTTGACGTTACATTTGGAAGGAAAATATCATGCTGGCCAATTATGCGTCCTCTTTGCTGGATCTAAGTAAATGTTAGTACATAATTAAAAATGGCCGATAATGACGAGGCAAACCTCTTCAATTGATGGTAGGAAATCGCCGGACGAAGAGGATAGATGTTGCATGACCAAGGGAATCAAAGCTGAGAATGTCGACGAATGAGCAACAAGACGGATTTTGGATGGCATTTAAATAAGTGGTACACTATTAATTTTAGTAGAGAAGTCATGTCCCATGGACTTTGGACTTGGAACGTTTTAGCGCCCTACTACTTATTATATTAAGAGTTTAAATGTAAGTACATAAATAAAAATGCAGATTTATCACGGCACTCCCTCATATATGTATTTCCCATTATATAAAATATATTTATTGAATACGTATTTTATACGACAAATCGACGAAATATGTATTTTGTCGGTTTTTTATCTAATGCATATAAAAATCGCACAGAGGTCTTTTTGCAACTTTTAGTTTTACCAATTACCGTAATATTTAGTTATCTTATTGTCACTCTCTTTCTTGCCATACTCTTTTTCTTGACATGCCGAACTGGTTACGAAATAGCGTCGTGTAGACGTCGTACTTACCTTTCTTCATGCCAGGTATATCGGTGCCGCACCCGATAGTTTGCGGGCCAGGGCTCAGACTGTGCAGCTGGTAGGGTGGAGTCCTAGTGTCGATCTGCGCCGGCCAGGGGGCCCGCGGCCAGGCGGGGGCGGAGCCCGGGGCTCCGAGAAGCCGCAAACGCTCGTACACAGGCGTGGAGCAGTCTGTGCCGCTTTGTTGGTTGCTCGATTTCTCCTTTTGAGCGGCCAGGTTGCGAAGAACCCGATTTATCGAGGAAACCTGTAACAATACAAGCGATTTATGAAAATCTTTGGCGACATTTCACGGTGGTAGGGCCACGCAGCAGCCTCGACTGTGGCTCGAATAGGCAGGCTCTTCCGGGTACGCACCACGACCTCACAGAAGACCGACGTAAAGTGGAAGTATAATACATTCGCGTTCTGGTGAGTGAGGTGGCCGGAGCCCAAGTTTCAAAAGCTCGGCGGTATTCACTTAACATCAGGTGAACCGTCTGCTCGCTTGGCAACTTTTCACATATTTTTTTTTAAATAAAGAATAACAAGCACATCTGTCCGATTATTGTCCCATGCTAGACAAGAATTTTTGTGAAAAACTTTTGCAAACAGAGAAACTGTTTAATATACTATATATCACCATTGCTATATGAAATTTAAAATTCTACAGTGCTAATCTCTACACTTGGCATTGTCTCTTGACTTGGCAAAAGATGCATAAAGCATTGTATACAATACTTTGTCCATCTTTTAACGTTGAGCTGTTAATCTCTGTGGTTTAATCAGCCGTTTAGATAGGGCCGGTGTAAGGCTGTTGCACAAATGTGCAGGCCCATCCAGGTAAGTAGGACGGCCTCACAGAAAACCGGCGTAAAGTGGAAGTATGACAAATACTTTCGCGTTTCGTCTGGTGAGTGAGGTAGCCGGAGCCCAATTTTTAAAAGATTGTCAACGCATCTGTAAACCTCGGTGTAGCAGGTGAAAAAAAAAGTGGTTAAAGCGTCTGGGCGCGACTCCGGAAGACGGGGTTCGATTCCCATAGCGGCGAAAAGTTCATCCTTTTTTCTACAAAGATTAATGTTTCATCTTGAGTGCAGGTATATAAAATATAAATTTCATATAAACTCTTTTCCAAACCCAGTAACAATTTTTATAAAAAATTCAGGATTAAGTTTTCCCCTTTATAAAATAACTTTAGCGAAAGTACGTAAGTTACTTTTTAACTAATTTTTTTCTTATGCATGTTTGGCTATTATCCCATCTAAGTATTTCGGATACATGGTCCTTTAATCTCGTCAGCGCTGTAGAATTATTAAGCCTCTTGGCAACTTTCAACCATCGAATTAACCGAACGATTAAATTTAATGCGCCGTGAACGTTTGTAAAACCATAAAAACTCATTTAAATCCAATCGAATGAGAAAAACGACCATTGTTAGGGGATATTGTCTACGTGCAAACCTTTGAAGGACTTAATTCGTGTAAACATATACAAACAAAATTTTAGTAAAAGGGTTATTTACTAAATGGTGCATTAAGCGAGCACAATCGCAGAAACCAGTCAATGGGTGTGTGTAATTCGAATTAAGGGACTGTTTACAGGTTTGTTTCTTGCACAGAGGTTTTATTTTTTTTCAAAACGGTCAGGCCACCGACACATTTCACACATGAACAAGTTTGCGAATGAGTCCGTTGTTTATGCTCACTTTAAATTGTTTTTTTAAAAGCGACGCTTTGAAGTGGTAGGGGTAGAGTAAATCAAAATCTGTTGATAATTTATTTTTTTTTAAAAATTAAAAAAACAATTAATAGACAATATATATAAAAACAGTAAACCAATTTCTAAGATAATACAGCTTATTTATGACCTCTCAAGTGAAGTAAAATGATATCTACGGAACATTTAATTAACTTGAACCATTGAGTTCCAACTCTTTGCTAATTTTCAAGGAGCTTGTTAAAAATTTCCGATTGATTTTGTTAGAGAACTCGTGACAAATAATAACAGCCCTTTCTTGGAACATTCATTTTTCTAGTCGGACGCTTACAGCAAAGATGGTGAGTGACTTTCAATTAGATAGCTTGTTATAAATTTCTCACCGAGGGAAATTTTCCTATCTTCCACCATTGATTGTATTGCAGCGTTATCGTAACAAGAAAAACAAATTTTTGATACTTCAATGACAACAAGATTTCAATTGATCACTTTTATTTGTTTTTTACTTCGAAATCCAGTCAATTACGTCAATTAAAATTCTAATCAAAGCAATGAAAAATAAAACCCAAAGCTGGGTTTATTGTCTACCAAAGTACGAAGATTTTTGATCGATTAATAAATAAAAAAAAATCAGATTTAAAAACGATTAATCGAAACTGTCAACTGTCAAGATCGAAGTCGATCATAGAGAAAAAAGTTCCCGCTCTTTTTTTTTTTCAAATCCACACTCGTCCGTCGAACGCGGCCCGCTTTCTCGGTCCATCGGGCATCGCGTCAGCTGCCAGTCACCGGGCGGCGAAGACCACCGCGCGGCCGCGTCTCGTGTTACCGTCTATCGTCTTACGGCCTTCCTGCCCTACGTCTAAGTTACGCGCTACGTCCGTTTGGCGCGCTGTCATTGTACGTACGACAGTTGGTGGAGCGGCGAGACATTTTCGGTTTTCCTTACCCTCCGGCTATGGGTGGCCTGTCATGTCGCAAATGATGTCACAATAATTTTGTAGGTTCTATATTGTAATACAAATGAAAAATAGGGATCATTACTGGGACGCGCTCTGCTGGTCGGTGTTAAGCTCACGCCGGCCGTAAGTGTTCGAAAAAATTTACTATAAACCACATAACGACTGTCATATATTTGTTACAACCCGTTCAATTTCTAATGTCTCTTTGTTGTATTACAACAGCTTTGTAACGTATTTGCTCATTAATTCACTCACTGAACTGGTTTATAACTAGTAAAAAAAAAACTTTTACAAATTTTAATTGGTCAAATCTGGTAGTAGCAAATTTAGTCTTTATAAGTTATAGTTTTAGGCTTAATAAGATTCTTTATTAACAACAAAAAATTTTATTAATTTTAAAAGACCATAATAATTAAAATTTTTGTCACTTAATTTTAATATTTTTATCAAAAAAATGTTTATTTAATATCCATATTTATTATCAAAAGGTGCTTGTACTAAATAAGTGCTAATACTTAATATATCGATCTTAGTAGACGTGCATTATACTGCTTTCCAACGCGTTGATGGTCTTCATTAAATTATGATTGTCCCATTCACATTGGCACCGTGAGCTCGGTCATGAGAACGCACCTAATAAATCGCCGCATATCATTTCACTCTCAAACGATTCCGAATACACAATCGAGTGGGGCCGGGCACCTTAGACTTTCGAGTAATACAGTGGCCCCAACAGAACGCCCCCTGTGACGCGTCACAACAATACACATTTATTGACAAACTGCCTATAAGTCTCAATCAAACAATGGAATTTTTGTATAAATCTATTGACCCATTTCTTTGATTGCACACAACAATGCACGAATCAACAATTAAATTTAAATTTCACATCGTGGGAATGGCGCGAATTAAGCGCGTTGCCGACTCGCGCTGTCATCTTACGTTTGCGTGGCTATATTCTTTTTTTTTAAGCGATGGGTGTGTCGCAATATATTTACGGCCTTTCTTTTCGACCGGGGCGATGGGCTCACCTTTATTTTAATTGTTCGAGTTTCCTTCTTTCCGAATATTCGAAATATTGTGGAATTCTACTAAAGCATGGCGCTCATTGTTAAGAAAATAATGGGAAACATTAATTATCCGTATTACGAAGGTAATTATCCGTAAAAACGGGTTGGTTAATTATTTTTTTATTATTATTATTTGCAAAATAATATCAGGATTTTATCTGTTTATTAGTTTTTAAATACTGCCAAGACCTATTGAAGAAGACGTAACCATCTAAATATATAATGGAACGGATATTTTATAAAGAGACATTGACCCGTAGTTTTATCTGCTTAGTTCTATTCACAATAGTACGATTATGGATACTAGACTAATTATCATTTTATATACCATAAAAGTATGTGTTAATGCAACTTATTCGTAATTTTCATTCTGCTTTATTTTAATGTTCAGCCGTTTTGACATCAAGGGACAACTTACTTACTTTTAATGACTTTCTGGCTAAACTCTCTACTCAATGCAGTATAAACAAAATGCAGAACAGATGTGGTAGGGCCACGTAACAGTCTTCGCTGGTACACAAATGAGTAGGTTCGACCGGGTAAGTACCACAACCTCACAGAAGACCCGCGTGAAGTAGCCCACATTATTCCCTACGGGCGTTGCTAAATGTCCATGGGCGGCGGTTATCCCTTAGCATCAGGTGAAAAGATCAAAAATGTTTCCTTTTAAACTTCAGCGAGGTGACAAAAAATAGAAAAGATCAAAAATGTTTCCTTTTAAACTTCAGCGAGGTGACAAATCAGATGTCTGTTCAAAACTGCAAGTTATTTTTCATATCAACCTTACGGAACAATACCAAAAGAGAACGAAAAGGCCCAAAGGACAAGCTGAAAGGAACAATCATGCACTCCAATTTCGCGATCTAATTCTGAGCTAAAACAAAGGGGGGGATTGATGAAATGCAGCGGCGGAACATAAGGGAAGGCGAGCAGTTGTTCGCTTGCGTTGCAAAAGCTCGAAAAGCATCTGAGAAGAGTAAAAGTCACCCAAAATATTGACTCGCAAAGTGCCCGACTTGGCGCACAATGGACCCAGCAGGTTGCCTTTTGTTAGCGACCCTTCTGTAGCTAACAATGCTTGGAGTAATGCACTGCTTTTTTATTCGGCGCACATAGAAATTTCGAGAGAAGCGAGCGAGCGTTGTATCGGATAGTTTTCTTACTTAAACAATAATTCTACACCTGACAACATTTTCAGATGTATTATGATAATAATTATATGATCGCGATATAAATTGAATTGATCATCACGAAGAGAGATGGTTCATTTTGATTCCGTCTAATTAAATTTTAAACGAATGCAGTCCATGCAAATCGAATAGATCAATAAGGCCCCTTTATTTGCGCGCTCCGTTTCGAATATAGCCCGGCGCTACAAGATGGGTCTGTGTCGAAATAAAAAAAAAAACGCTCTCTAAGCTTATTGAAAAGTATTCTCGCCCTACGTTCACGGAGTCTGAGCAAATATAAGATAATTTTCCCGCTTCACCTCACTCGGTATTTAGGGGGCACCTTTCATACTTTTTACGGTGCCGTTTGACGGTAGGCACGTCGCTAGGAGCGTAGCGATTTAATAATTTTATTTCGCATTCAAAACACCGCGCCACGTCGCCGCCGATTTTGTTTTCCGCAACTTGCGAGCTTTTAGAATCGGTGATATAAAACAATCGACGACCGCTGTATTGTATTTTAATTTAAAGCTTGATGTTCAATCTGACATTCAACTGCAGATAGAAGATAATGAGTATGGTAAGAAATAGAAATCAATTGAAACTTAACGCGCGAACAAGTCATTGTAAGAAACTTGTACTACAGTATAACAAACTACTAAATGATATTAAAGACTATAATACCATAAATATGTATTAGATTACAATATGTAACATCTAACTTAA